CCACTCGCGGTCACTCTCTCTCTCTCTCTCTCTCTCTCTCTCTCTCTCTCTCTCTCTCTCTCTCTCTCTGCCTTTCCGGCCATCTCACGTGTTCTTCTTTTTTAAAATTCAAGCACCTCGCCTATCCTACGGGAATCGTTCGAGGAGCATTGGCGCGACTGGGAGTGCAAGCTAGTGTGGTGGGCGAGACTTCACCTCATCCGGGCCAATTGAGCGCTTGCACTTTTCATGTCAGGACCGCCTTGGCTAGCACAAACAGCAGCAACAACAATGCTGCTTCGGAAGTGCCAGCACAGCAGCAGCAGCAGCAGCAAAGGGTCTCATCCATCGCTTCTGTTGGTGCGAGATAAAGAGCGTATTTCACGGATCGTCTTGCAATGCATGCGATACGCTTGGATCAGTAGGGTCGATCAAGATCATGCTCAGCCACGAACGTCGACCTTTCGCAGAATTTTGAATTGGCTCTTTCTGCCATACGTCATCGACCCAAGCACAATGTATTCTGCGCGCGCCTTTTGTTATTCTCCCCATTCGTCCTCTTTTGCCCGCTCTCTCATCCTCCACGACACCCCGCTCTTCCACGTACTGCACGTCGAGATGCGGCTTCTACCTCCAAAATCACCTTCTAGAGGGTGCGGTGCGTCTAGTCTATTCCATTCACAGATGTCCCTCCCCCCCTCCTCCTCCGAACGCTCGATCGATCGACGTTCCTACTCGTAGGACGCTGCATTTGCTCCGGCGCGCTTCTCGTTCGTAGTCTTTTCGATCGCGTGCGAATGCCTGTCTGCCTGATGCTGGGATGTATCCGACACTTGCTCCCCTTTCTCCTTCTCCTCCTTCTTTTTCTCCTCCTCCTTCTCTTTCTCCTCCTCCTCCTCGCCGTCGAGCAACTCCAAAATATTGCCCGGCTCAGCGCCAGGGAAAAGCCAGCAGTGACTGTGCATGGGCCGAATCAGGATTTCAGTGCATGCGCAAAACCCACTCGCAGCTCACGCTCGTCAACTCTGGCGGCAAAACGCAAACTGCAACGACTCACCTCATGCCCATTCTTTGCGGAACAAGCGCGTCCACACGCTCCATCTGGGCAAGCGGTGCTTTGCTCGCAGAAGCAAGGGGCAAATCCCATCCCAGCCGCTCGCACAGGTACGCAACGATCAGGTCTGCATCTCCCAACAGTTGAATGTCGACCGCCATGTGTCGTATGGGGGTCCTATTGATCAGGACGACGGGAACTCGGTGGGGCATATGACCTATCAATTCGGAAACTGGCGCCACTTTGAGCGATGTGCCCATCACTAGGATCAGATCCACCGACTCGCGATCTTGGAAAAGACCTTGAGCGGCGGTCATCGGATGGCCGAGAGCAGAGTGATCAGTCAAGAGTCCAGCGCTTGATGGTGCCCATCCATTGATGCGCAATCATGGCGTGAACGCTGCTCACATCGGTCAAAGTCGTCGCTCAGCTTCTCGCCAAAGAACGTGATGCACGGCTATTCGAACAAGGCGCATGCGCCCTCGCGCTCGTCAGGATCACTCACGACTCGAGTACCAATGCCTCGGCTTTTCTGACTCACCTTCAAAACGCCCCACCCAGCAGGTCGAGCATCAAGCCTCTTGTCCTCCTCGTCGCTCTCATCATCGCTTTGCCAGTCCTTGCCCTGTCTCTTCTTCTTCCTCTTCTTGGCCCGAGGTTCCTGCCGCTGCGATGCGTGACATTTGGGACAGAAAGGAACTCTTCGGGCAAAGATATCTGGCCTAATCATTTGCCCATCCACAGAATATCCGCAGGCCGGGTTGGTGCAAGTCGCTCGAGCAAAGGAACCATGACAATTCAGAACCCTCGTGATCTGTCGTCAAGAGTCAAGAGATTTGCGAGATCGTTCTGTCAGATTGGCATGGCGAGAGCGACATCTTGAAGCTGCGGTCGTCATGCTCACGCCTGCCTGCTGCTCTAGCGTGTCTATGTTCTGAGAGTAATTCCTGAGCAAAACGTTCCGGTCTTCTAGGAGCTTGATGAATCGGTGCGTCGGTGAAGGAACAAAGTTTGAAGGGAAGATGGAGTTGCTGGTGAAAGTGGGCGAGTTTAGCGAAGCGCACCAGATCGCGCAGGCTGCGACGAGGGACCCGCAAACTGCTCACGCAAAGCTGAAGAAGCACGAAGGATCCTGCATGAAGAACTCCTTGTCGAACATCTGTTCAGATGAGCCGGCGTAGAAGAGCGTTAGCCGAATGGCTCGACACGTTCTGAGCAGACTGTAAAGCAAAGAGAATCCCATGCTCACGTCTTGGGGGTCTGCGAGATCGTACTTGCCCTCTCGCAGCAGATTAGCATATATGCCGTCTCTGGAGCGGAAGTCTGTGACAGCGCTCGAGGTGCACTCTATCAGCGACACCTATCAAGGGCCCTACATCAACACTCGGCAGACACGCACCAGGTATACCGCAGCTGACACTGATGCCTGCGCCAGAGAGCACCACCACTCTGCGCGCATTTGCGAGCAGGCTCAAAACATCTTCCACAGTGTTGAGATGTTGGAGTCGTTCGCGATTTCGAAGGCTGACAAGAGCTGCGACGTGAGCTTGCTTCGCGCCAGATGTTTTGTTTGCGTTTGCGATGCAAAGGTATCTGCGATCCAGGCTGACTCACATGCGAGAGGCCATCGCTTTCAACACGCCAACGACGAACGCTCTGGAGGGGCTCAAACGTATGCTTCTCGGCTATACGAGAGGCTTCAACTTGCATGAGTAGTGTGCCACGGGATGTGGCGAGCGTGCAAGCGAAGCGAAGCGTCTCACTAGCATGGTACCAAAGCCGATGATCATGAGATGCAGCTGGTGCAACGTGGTAGCCTCCGAGAGATAAGTCTTTACGAAATGCACCATTCCATTCTCTTTCAAGTCCTCCACGATGCTCTCTTGACGTTCGTTGGGGTACAGTCGCTCGGCTTATTGCGTGACCGTCACACAGCGGTGCAGCGGGATGCTAGCGTCAGTATGTGAAAGATGCGCCATGAGAGGTGTTTCAGCGCACCTTCATCCAGTAGCGAGTTGTACGCAGCATCATCTTCTTCGTTCTCGGACTCCTTCAAAATCACAAAGGGAGAGCCGCAAGAAGGGGAAAGCGAATTGCTGACTTAGCGCGCGCGCGCGCATCCACGATGCCCCAAAACAGAGCGACGCCCCTGTGCGTCTCACCTCTTCACCAGCTTGTTCGAGCATCTCCAACCCTTCGCTATCGCAATCTTGCAAGACGTCTTCCGGACGAAGCGGAGCATCCAGACTAGGAGCAGCAGCAGCAGCAGCAGCAGCAGCAGGATCATTCCGTTGGGCATTCAATGACCGCGACTGACCCACTGCGGATGGACCTGGTTGTGAAGATGCGCCGCAAAGGTCTTGCAAAGGTCGGACCGTGCCTCCATTCAGCTCTTGCATAGCATGCCTCTCTTGCCTTTCCGCATCCGCCTGCCCCAAAACAGGCGGCACTGATGTTTCACTCATTCTGTCAGACAGACTCGAGCAGAATGAGACGGTCTCGTACGACGCAGCCACTGGATGTGTGCCGGATGTGTGCCTTGCCCTTGCCAGTCCGCTCCATTCGTGTTTCACTTGACGATTGCGATTCTCTTGCTGCGCGACTTGTCCTGCTGAAGCAACCGCATTCATATAGAAGGTGGAAGGGTAGCCTTTCTGAACCTTGTCTATGCTTGCAGTCTGATTCAGATTGCGAACCGCAAATTCAAAATTGACGTTTGCTCATCATCAACAAGTACAGAAGCAGGATCGCCTGATAATCAAATCACGAATCAAATTTCAGGATGGAGGGTGAACAACAGCCCATCGGCATGCGTGCAACGGCGTGCCCCTGAGCACCTGATCACGTGCTCACGTCTGTGACTCACTTGGATCACAATTGAATGTGAATTGAATGTGAATCACAAATTCCAATTAAAAATCTTCAGTGGCCGTTGTTAAGTGCAGGATGGATTCAATTCAAGAATTGTCGGGGACACCGAGATCAATCGAAATTCGATTCTTGAGTGGAGGGGGCGTCCAGATTTGATTCGGATTCAAGATTCACGTGATTGTATTCGCCGCCCTTCACATACCGCCGTGGATGGCTGTGACTGCGTCAAGGAGCACGTACGTGCGTTGTGCACCGCTCGATGACAAGTGCCCAAATCGAGTGAAGGAAGCGGGAGCTGGACTTGGCATAGATGGTCAAGCCAAAGTACATCGCCGGTGCATGTATGTTCGCGCGAATCGCGACCCACCGCGACCGCTCTGTTCATATAGCGCACCGAGACTTGCGGTGTCTTGCCCAACAACAAGGAATTGAGGACAGGTACAGCACAGTTTGAGTGATAGTGATACGTGCAAGGATTGAGCTACCCATTGACAAACTCACGACTGAAACGCGTGCAAAGCTAGGTTGTCAATAACCATGATACCGGCTGCAGCAGGAGCAATCATGCAACCCTTGCGCCTCCGATTCACGATTTCAGGTGCATGCATGATGTGCACCGGGGTTCTCGCTAGCGTGCATGCAATCGCTGCTGCTCGATCCCTCCACATGCGCGCTCGCGAGGACATCCATCTACCTTCATGTTTCACCCCGATACATATGACGGACATTCACATTCACATTCGCGCTCCGTGATTTCAAATTTGCGCAGCAGGTCAAGGCTTGCTGCTGCTTGCTGCTGCTTGCTGCTGCTTGCTGCTGCTTGCTGCTTCTGCGTGCACACATCACCACGGCATCGTCGTGATGACTGAAGAGGTGACCTCGCTGCATGATATCAAATCAAAACCATGCTTTCCAGTCGCGTATCGCGAAGGTCTCACTTATACCACTAGACTCAGTGACTGCTCGATCAGCATGCAAGCTATAGGTGGTTGCCAATCGTACTCTGTATCGGCTCGGACCTAAGGGCGGCAGCGAGGTGAGGGGGCGCATGCATACCCACAGTAGACTCACGACTGTACCTACCGATACCAGCAGTAGGGTACCGGTACTGTACCGTACCGTACCTGTACCTACATTTCTGCTTTGCATCACCAATCGAGCACTCACAACTGCTGCGAGTGCATGCATAAGCTGCATGCGCGCATGCTTCGAACTTTGGCGACGAGTAGCAATGCGCGGAGCATTTGTACCGCTACGGTAAATTCGTGACGGTGATCCTAGGTCGATGGCGTATTCCTCCATTCTGCCATCTTCTTCCACTCGACACTGAAGATCAACAACCTCCAGACATGTTCACCAAGCGATCGACCTCCTTGACGTGACGAGCGCAGGCGCCAAGGACCAAGGGCCAACGCTGCCATGCACCATTTCCCTCATCCGGCTCACAGCCACCAACACCCACAGATGGAAGGTCTGGGCCAAGCCGGTCCATCTGTAGGCTCGAGACGAGCCAGCTCCTCGTCGACTGCATACGCAGACTTCGCGACCCCTACGCGCAAAAAGCGGCGGATACCACAGGCTTGCAAGGTGTG